TAGTTTTGAGCTAAACTTTAAAAAATAATAGTACATTCTATAGATGTCCTAAAATAGTGAAATAAAATTTGTTAGGTTCACAAAAATACTATCTATCTGTTGGTGTAGTTAGTTTACAGTTAGCTGTAATACTGATAGGTTCATAAATTCAAATTAGAGAGCTTAGTATTATGTAGATTAATATTTGTAGGATTTTTTATGGTAAATTGATGATAGCTTTAGCCATGAAAATTTTACAGTAGGTTCGTTAGATTATTATGTACTCACTGTAATTTCTATAGCCCTAAAGTAGGTTGATAAATAGAGTAGCTAGTACCCCTTATTTTATCGTATGTAGAGTAAATTGGTATTAAGAGTAAGAATATCTTTAGTTGTAAAGATAATATATGTCACGCTTCATACTGGTTAGTGGTAACAGTAGGTAACTTAGCACCTTAGTCGGTAGAGCTAGTTGAGTAGCTTGACAAATGTATTCATAATTTAAGAGTGGCTGTTGCCAAATTAATAAGTGTTGCATCATCATTTCATGCATGTAGATCACGAGTTGGTAGAGTTCGTGTTCGTGGACGAACAAGATTACGAAGAGGTCATTGAGGAGTACGAGGAGGAGATCCTCGTGCAGGAGGGAGCTCCGGAGCCTTTTGGTGCTGACTTTACTGACCCACCACCTGCCCAAGGCAAGCCCCGGTGCATAACCCATATTTTATGATCACTGAATATATATATGATGTGTATTTATGTTACAGACATTTTATGAAAACTACATGCATAAATATATCTACCTATGAGTCATACTAGTTCAGGTTGAGTAGCTGCTATGCTCAGGATTTCGGTAGCTTGAGTAACCTGTCGTTACTCACAATAGGTGATAATTATGATCACTCATGATAAAATGGTGGAAAGAAAAATGGTGACTAGGCAAGGATATGGTTTGGATATTGGTGGGTGTAAGAGGTTGTGTCCTGCGGCCAACAGGGCATAGCTTAGTTACACTTTTTCCCTGTTTGTGTCGGTTAAGGACCGACCGTTGTATAAGGCTCTAGGCAAGTTACAGATTTATTATCCCGACCACATACTTGGGTATGGGCGTAGGGAAGACTTGTTGCTCTCTTGTTGTGGGTTCCGGCTCTTTCCGGATCGACTGATTGGAGGTGGGGATAGTGGAGGTCCTTGCACCGCACTAAGTCTGGGACTTAAGAGCGGGGGCTTGGAGTCCAAGTTTGGATAGGGACCTGGACCCCAGGACAAGAGGGTGATGGGTTGGTCCTGCTTGTGCCTGGGGTACAAGCGGGGCGTGTGTTTTTAGGGTACCCAGCAGGGGGCATTGATTTGCGAATCACCGGCGTTCTGGTACGACTTGTCTACGGTTTAGCATCGTAGTAAGAACTAAAAGCTGAGAGGTGATGAAATGGAACTGATTGCTCAACTCTTGTTTGAAAGTAGAACAGGTGCTTACATAGAATGGATAGATAAGAAATTAATACGACTATTAATAATAACATAAATAAGGACTCACTATTAGTATTGCTTTCTACAAAAAGGAAGTCAGGAAACCATAAAGCCTTGCATATCCCTTGGAGTCGGGAAGCTATTCCCACTAGTCGGATAAGTCTTGAGAGTATATTGCGTACTCAGGGTTTATTTACCCCTGTTGCAGGTAATGTTTGAGGAGTACCATTGTGTGAAGGATTCTTCTGGTGGGCATAGACGGATCTTTGTCACTAGATGTTTATTTTTATTCCGTTGTTTAATATTCCGCACTCTGAGATTTGGCAATGTAATAATGAATTTCTAAGAACTCTGGATGTATGAAATGTATTAAGTATTGTAACTCGTTCTCATTATTGATCCTTGAGGAAAATTGTGGATTTTTCGGGTTCTCCCTTGGGGTGTGCCCGACGGATACCGCCCGCTGTAGCTCGCTTTTGGGGTGCTTAGTGTCTGGTGGAAGACAAGTGCCTCCGTAAGTGTATTATTTGGGGCGGTTCTGCCACATATGATCTCTTCTCAGTTCTCTTGCGACTAACTAATCCCTACCTGCTTTTATAAAGAATAAACATGGTGGTGATCCTCGCAGCGTGGGTTAGCTAGTTTTTTTAATTGTAATCATTATAGTTTTTTTTTGTTTGATTGACAACATCCACTTGAACGAACTTCCATACTGCTATCATTGGCTAATTTTTTTTTGTTCTCAATTACATCAAGTCTCTTCCTTTTTATCTGTATCCCATAATAACTATGCAATTTCTGCCGATACTAGATCCAGACAGTCTTCAATTCTTCAATGAGCTCGATAAAAGTCCCTCACAATTTTTTTTAATTCTTTGATCCTCTTGTAAATTTAAACTTAGAACCATTTGTACCTTGTTTATGGATCCTTAATTAGTAGCCACTTTTGTCCTAAAACATCATTGTATTTAACAGAATGTTGCTTATGTTTGCTGTGGAGCCATTGTTGTCTCAAACATTCATTAGCCGGCATCATCATCACACCAATATTCGTTGCAGCAAGCACTACAAAACAAACTATAGGACCATCACTGACACCCATGAACTTGTTGATCTCTGGCTTACTATTTATTAAGCCGCTCCACCGTATTGTTGTGAACCATACTATGATCATATTTGTCTCTGTGTGACTACATTCTCTCGAAGAGAAAAAAAATCTAAACTACGTGCTTTGTGCTGCTTATGAGCTTCTCATGCATGTGCACCAAAAATCAAATTAACCAATAGCCTAGGACATGTCAAAAGTGGATATTCTTTTATGGTTTCTCATATTTGTACTGTCTAACTGGACTTGTTTTTTCTCCTCGGCCATCACTATGAAGTACATCAAATTTGAGCCATGATCATTATAATTGACACAATCTATTTAGTTGTTCAGCTAGAAACATATGAAAAAGAGTGGATCAACCATATTATTTAGGGCTATGTTGAAAGGACAATTTGAGATGGCGAGACTTAGAACATGGCAGAGATGGAGCGGTGTGGGAATTTGGAGTGCTAAAATAATTCTTTTGAACGGGCCAAAGACACTGGTGGATGGCTCGAATAGTTATCCCTATCGTAGCATTGCCCGTGGTTTCCTTATCTTTTAATCAAGTTGTAATACTATTTGAATTGAGAAGATTTCCTATTTGACACCAGAAATAATGCTGCTCTCTTATATAACATCCAAACTAAAATTCTTTCCTATTCGTCCCCACTCGAGTTTTTTTTTCCTATATGACATTTCTGTCAGTTCTGAGCAAGCACCATTAGCTGTCCATTTCAGCCGATGGAAAAAGACCGTAATGCCCTCTAGAGAAGCAAATGAACTCAATCATCTCTGGGAGTCGTGACTGTTCATCCTCCTGGAGTCGCGCTGTTACGGGCAACTCCCTCCCCGTAACCCTAGATCGAGCGGGTGGCCATGGAGGCGGGCGGCGCAGCCTCGGAGAAGGGCATCGCAGCCTCGGAGAAGGGCGGCGTGGCCCAGGCGTGCGCGAGCTACGTTTCTCTGGTCATTGCAATGACCTGCCTCAACGAGCTACGTTTCTCTGGTCATTGCAATGACCTGCCTCAACAACCATTATTATGTACCCAATTACAGATTCGATCTCTCCTCTCAACCTAAAGATTAACTGTACTAGCCCCCTTTTAAATATTTTTTTGTGAGAAATATCAATCAATTCGAATAAATTCTTATGGTTCTTGAGTATAATATGGTCCTATAACTTATGAGAGTATACCGTATTTGCAATGATTCTTTCAGAAACCCACGAAACAAACAATACGTCATGACTAGTGTAGGTAGTTTTCACTACCACTCGTCCGCCCACTACGGTTTAAAAAATGGCAAGCATAGCAAAAGATAAGCTAGCCAAGACATTAACAGATTGCGTTGAGAGCTTATATTCTCCAGAAAAGAACAAATCAGTCTGGCCTGTAGCCTGCCGGCGTGCTGTTTAACAGATTAACTAACACTAGGCTATAGACATTCCGCTACGTGCACTACTACCCAAAAGGTTTGTAGCAACGGAACAATTTTTTTATAGGGACGGCCGGTGATGGAGCCGCCCCTACAGTGGGCGTGCTTGGGACCCATGAGACTAGCCGTCCCTACAAATGACACAGTAGGGGCGGCTGGTGATACGATTTGTAGGGGCGGCTCAATCACTAGCCGCCCCTACAAATATTTTTGTATTTTTTAAATATTAGTTCTGCATATTTTTTTATAAATGTATTAAAAATAATTTGCTATATTTGCCCATACACATAAAAAACAACTTGCTGATATATATAATGATTCATTTTCTTTTTTAAAAAATAAAAAAAATTATATTGAAAAAATTGAAAATTTGAATTTATGAACTTCGAATTGAATTTTAAGACATAAAATGATCTAAAATGAAAATGTTGTAAACATCAAAGTTGTAAAACTCATAAAGATTTACAACTTTTATTTTAGTCATCTTTTCATGTGACTTAGTTTGAAAAGTTCAAATTTTGAACTTCATAAAATGGCAACTTCAAACAACATTTTCAAAGAGTAAATAATTTGAGCCGGTAAAGTCATGAATATAAAAGTTGTATAACTCATTAAGATCTAAAACTTTTATTTTGGTCATTTGTTTATCCGACAAAGTGACAAGAACATTGTTCATAAATTTTATATCTTTCTCATATGGTTTCATAAACTATAGTCGTTGACTTGTAGACGAGGTATCCAACAAACGCTAGTTGACTTCTCAAGGAACAAAGTGGGCGGCGATGTGGCGCAAAAAATACACTAGGCTTGGTATCCAACAAACGCTAGTTGACTTCTCAAGGAACAAAGTGGCCGGCGATGTGGTGCAAAAAATTAAAGGAGAGGCAAATAATGATCACAAGCCAAATTTGACCGAGTAATTACAGGGTTATTTTATTTGTCCTTGAAAATGTTATTCATCTTAATTACAGCTGGAAGATATACAAGGAACGGGCCGGATGCAAATATATGTGTGAATGAAAATGGTTTATGCATCAATCGATGCAACAGCTGGAGGAATACAGGGAATGGGATGCAGAAATAGCTTAGCCTTCCTTGTGACAGTAACACCCCAGAGCTCTGTCATGTCAATCTCCTCCGGTTTAGCTCCATCTGGCAGCTTCCAGTCAAAATGGTACAGAAGGCTAGCCAGAGCAATCTCAACATTCATATGAGCGAAACTTGTCCCAGGGCACATCCTCCGCCCAGCCCCGAAAGGAGTGAACTCAAAATCGAACCCCTTGTAGTCCAAACAGCGGTGGTCAGGGTCACCCTGGAGAAATCTCTCTGGTATAAACATGTCTGGGTCCTCCCAGTACTTTGGGTCCCTGGAAATAGCCCAAACGTTTGCGACGACTATTGTCCCCTGCGGCACATGGTATCCTTGGATCTTGATGCGATCATCCAAGCATACCCTTGGGACGAACGGGGCAGGAGGGTGCAGTCGTAAGGTCTCTTTGATCACTGCTTTCAGGTAGTGCAGGTCCCTTAGAGTCGCCTCATGTACTCGTTGTTGCCCTGCCATGACGCGTCGAATCTCAAGCTGCGCCTTGTGCATCACCCTTGGGTTTGCGATTAGTTCGGCCATAGCCCACCGGAGGGTAGTCGTTGATGTGTCAAGTGCTGCACCAACCACATCCTGACCATATGTATGTGTGTAAGTAAAATTCGTTTCAAGTATAGGAATAAGCAGGTAAATAAGAGAGCTTATTACTTACTATCAGCGCCGCCCTGATGACTCCATGGTTGAGAGAAACACGCATGTCGCCCTCCTTCTGGATCCTGAGCAGAACGTCGACCATGTCCTGCTCCTGCTCGACGCCGCCTCCGCCCCCATCTTGGCCATCAGCAGCAGCCCTTGTTTGGCTGCGGCTCACAAGGATGTCGTCCATGAGCCGGAACATCTCCTGGCGGTGCCGCTCCGCCTTTCGGCTCCGCGGCAGCATCCGCACGAGCCGCGACGACGGGAACAGGTCGCGGAGGTCGAACAGCGACGACGGGTCCTGGCCTGCCTTGATCATCCTCAGGAACGCGGCGCGGTTGGGCAGCCGGTCGCCCAAGATGGCGCGCACGGAAGAGTCGGCGATGAACACCTCCAGCCGCTCGTCAATGTCGACGGGCGGCTGTCCACCCGGAGGCAGGGACGACAACGACAGCGACGAGACCAGGCGAGCCGCCTCGTCCTCGCGGATGCGCCGGAACGCCTCCACGCGCCGCGCGCTGAGCAGCTCCGTCATGAGGATCCGGCGCAGCAGGCGCCAGTGGTCGCCGTAGGGCGCGAAGATGACTCCCTGCCCGTGCCTCGACAGCTCCTCGATGCCCGGGCTGCTGGGCCGTTCCGAGAAGGCGGCGTCGTGGCCCTTCAGCATCTCCCCCACGGCCTCAGCGGAGGAGACGACGATGGCCGTGCGCTCGCAGATCCTTAGCAGCATCAGCGGGCCGTGACGCAGGGACAGGTCGCGGATGGTGTGGTGCGGGAGCCCCTGCAGCAGGTGGTGGAGGCTGCCGATCACCGGCAACTGCCATGGGCCCGGAGGCAGTTTCTTGCCGCTGCCGCTGCCGCTGCCGCTGAGGACGACACGGGCGACGACGACTGCAAGCAGGAGGCAGGAGCCGTACAAGCACAAGTATGGGTATGGCAGGCCAACAAAGTATTCTTCCATCGTCGGTGTTAGTTGCAAAGCAACGATATATAATGTGCATATATGCACACTGCCTGTATCATATACGGAGTACATATATATATAGCCAAGACATCCAGAGGGAGCAGTTTTGTATTAGGCCCCGTTCGCTTCGCTGAAAAAAACAAGCCGAAATATTGTTCCCACGATTTTTTACAAAAGAAAAATACTATTTCGATTGAAAAAAAAAGCTAAAAAGTACAGTCGAACCGGGCTTTAGACGGGTTTTGATTAAAAACGAGGCAGCAGGATCGGATAATTGATCTCAAATGATCATCATCCCTGGATAGCTGCTGGCTGGCTGGCTGCAGATGCTGGTTACTTTCCTTGCGTATACAGTAGCTTCGTTTCTTGTCGATCTCTTCCGTGCACACCGTATTTCCAGTAAGCATATGCATACTTGATGCCCAGTGGTTAAGGGGGGATTTATATTGGACTAGGTAGTGTGTCAGTGCGTTGCTACGGGATAACTAAATCTTTTGTACTAAAAATACACGGATCGTATGATAAGATAACAATACTGTTAAATTAAATATCGATGTTAAAATGATATTTAATTCAAAAAGCAAAGTTCGTGAAATTAACACAGTCACGGAGAGCACGGCGTCGCAGGCTCACAAACTCTACTGTGTAGACTTTTTCGTGATATGTCTAAGATAATATTTTATATCGGCAGAAAGAATTCTCCGATATCCATTTCTTTCACGCGCCAATAAATCCATGAATAAGTTTCGCTGCATCTCCATATAATCCTGTACACACAGGTTCAAGTATATATGTAAATATTAGTGTCTATGACATGGATAATACTGCGTGTTTTAAAAAATCTCTCATAAAATTTAAAACAAAGTATGTTATATTTATCGTATAAATATGTGTGGCTTTAGGACTATTTCACACAGACATATATTGTAGAATAAGGTATCCACTTGAGTGTCTATTCCAAGATGTTGAATTAGGTGTTGCAATTCTTAATTTCGACATATTTTTCAGGTCAAGGCAACCAATGGTGACACTTTTCTTAGTGGTGCATAATTTTATGGTGCACCTCTTGACTATCTGAGTGAGGACAAGTTAGCACTGCAAAGGCTCAGAAAAGCTGCTGAGATGGTCAAGGTTGAGTTTTTCTCCACTGCATACTAAAACCTATGTCCCCGTTTATCATTGTCGAAGCTTTTGATGCAAAACAATTCAACATTACCATGCTCAGATATAAGTTTGAGTCTCTTGTGAGCAATCTCATAGAGGGACTCTCATCCTTTATGTGATCTGCCTCAAGAATATTGGCAGGACGATGGACCTATGTTGGAACGTCGCACCAAAAAGTGTCCACGTTTTGTCCACGATTTATTTCCTATGAATACATGCGGGTATTATGATAACACTAGCTACACCAAATGAAAGATTAGAGAGAATTTGCATTGCCTCCAGAAGGATTTATTTATTAAGTTCTTTGGACTCTATAGGTAGTTTTGAAATATCTGTTTGCATGTCTTACCTCGTATCCTAATTCAAAATTTTGTAGTTTAATTAGAATATGGGAAAATGATTCAAAATAAACAGACCCAAGGGCAATTTCAGCAAGAAACAGCAAACAAGGGCGATGGAATACGTGAGCGTGAAACCAAATAAAAGGAGGAAAAAGTTGTCCCTTTTGCAAATATAAAGAGGGGAAGTAATTAAATATAGACAGATTTAGTAAGGTTCTCAGAAATGCAAAGATGTTCCTTTTGTCTTAATTCTCTTTCCTGCTGTGTTAATTATCTTTTCTTTTATTCGTTGCCATGTACGATGGTGTATGCAAACATGCAATGTGTATATGGATAGCACAATAATTTTCTACTTTCTATTTTGTCGTGATTTCTCTATCACATGACAGACAATATTCAATCAAGGAGAATCGCACCAAAGGACGCAACATACGAGAGATGTCGTGGGATCACAGACGTGGATAGACGGACAAATCAAAACAAATATCACACCAAAAAATATCTACACTTTATTTTTTTTAGTCGTAGGAGACTGCCACTTATACCTGGCACCGACGATTTTGGACTGCTTTGCTTGCTCGGCTCAAGGACAGCTCGTTAGACTGTTGTGTGCGTCGTGCTGATAGCTTAGCATCTTGCGTTGCAATGAGCAGGACCAATTTAGTTATACATTTAGTTATCCCTCTGTCCCCCTAAAAGAATAGATTCCAAGCAAGTTTAGGACAGACTAGCAAATAAGAGAAAAGACCTTACTACCTCTCATTAAGCTTCTTAACTTTAACTGCATTAACCACTTATCGAGAAGTTGGAGCAATAAGTTTTGATGTTTCCAATAATATAATAAATGTCGTTGTATGTCACTACCGGAATCGAATAGTTTGCCGAGTGTATTTTATCGGACACTCGGCAAACCATCTCTATATCGAGTGCCAAACTAAAAACACTCGGCAAAGATTTGACACTCGACAAACTATCTGTTTGCCGAGTGCCTTACTAAAAAAACACTCGGCAAACATTCTGACACTCGGCAATTCTACTAAAAAACACTCGGCAAACTCCGGCACTCGGCAAATATGGGAAAAACACTCGGCAAATTACGGCACTCGACAAATATCGCGCCACGTGTCCCTCCATTACCCTTTTGCCGAGTGTCCGTTGGCCAACACTCGACAAACAATTTATTTATTTTTTCTCATTTGACCTTGAAACTTTTTTTTACTCAACAAACAACATAGCATAATCCATGTTAAAATTTAGCATTTTTTTTATCTGTTTGCTAGTTTTAATTCATTAAATACATTCTAGGAATTTAATTGATTTGCGTCAAATTTGATCTATAAGTGCATGAAATAATAGAATAAAATAGGTAGAAAAATCATATTCACGGTGTCAAGTCTATTTTTGGCCTTACCGAAGAAATGAAAAGAAATTTGAAACATTTGGGTGCCAACACTCGACCATCGACATGTAGCTCATTGGTTTTTTAATTATAAAAAATTCAAACGAAGTCTGAAAAACATAGGACTTGCCATTGTATCATGATATGATACGTAGAGGCTATGGTAAAAATTTGAGAAGATTTCGAAAAAGTTGCAACGTACATTGCTTAGAAATCGAAACATCTCTAAGGAAGAATCGTGATATCGAGAGAGAACGAAACAGGTTTGAAAGCGAAGTGACGGTTCAATCATCGTTTGACCTTGAAACTTTTTCTATACATTAGATTGAGCTCAAACTTTCTGAGCTTGCTATTTTTCCCCTCCCATGAAAAGAGAAAATAAATAAAAAATAAAAAAAATATAGGGTTTGCTGAGTGTCGAACAAAAACACTCGGCAAATAGAGGGTTTACCGAGTGTCACAAGAAAAACACTCGGCAAAAAGAGAAGTTTGCCGAGTGTCCAGAAGCAACACTCGGCAAAGAAAAAAAAATAACCCGCCCCTAACTCCCTCGCGACGCACAACCCCCCCTCCCCTCCCTCCCAGCTCGCTCCCTCCCATCCTCTCCCAGCGTGCGCTCGTGGCGCCTCCCTCCTCCTGGCGTGGCTATTCTCCCCCTCCCTCACGGTGGCGCCTCCCCTGGATCCGCCGCCCCTCCCTCCCTATCTTCCCGGCCCCTCCCCCCTCTTCCCCCGCCTCCTCCTCCTCCCCTCATCGGCGGGCGCCCTCCCTCCCTATCTTCCCGCCCCTCCCTCGCTCTCTTCCCGGCCCCTCCTCCCTCCCTCACCGTGGCGCCTTCCCCCGGATCCGGCCCCCCTCCCTCCCCTCCCTCACCGGTGGCGCCCCTCCCCCGGATCCGCGGTGCTCGTGGTTTGCGCCCCTTCCCCGTCCGCAACAATGGCGCTCCGGATCTCTAGCCTCCGGATCTCCTCGCCTTGCTCGACGACGGCCTAGATCTACCCATAGCCGTGGCTCTGAAGGTGGAGCTTCATCTCCTAGGTGAGTGGCTGGTGGACCCTCTCTCCCTCTTCCTAACTCTCCCTCACCTTCACCCTCTCCCTCATAGATCGATCCTGACGGGGCTTCTTCCGTAGAGGCAGCGGTGGTGAATCGTGGCCATCGCCTCGGCGGCCTCCTCCGCCCAATCCGGCGAGGTGGCGTGGTCCGTAACGGGTGTCGCAGCGAGCCGTGTTCTTCATCCACGACGGTGGCACGACGGGTCCTGATGCGCGGTGGTGGTGTCGGGGTGAGGACACGTCAGTGGCGCCACCGTGCCCAAGCATGATGGCAGTGACGACGCCGTGCTAAGGTAAGAGGTCCCAAGGCCCAAACTTAGTAGAAATTAGGGTTTCCATTTTGAAATTAGGGGTAAAAGGGCGAAAATCATGATCTAGGGTTTCGGGAATTTGGGGGAAAGTTTCAATTTGGCCGTGATTTGCAAATTCTCCTCCTACATGCTAATCCGAACCCTAGTGGCTTAATATGCACCGTCTTAGCATAAGACATCGTCAACAGGGGCTAATTAAGGCATGAAGTTGGCTTAATGTAGAACATTAAACATTAAATTAGGCATAAAATGCATTAACCCGTGACTAATCATGACAATTAACTAAACCTAGGCCTTAGTGTTACTATTATTATGCCTCCTGTATCTTCTATGCCTCCTGTATTTATGCCTCCTTAATATTGCAAATGTACTGCAGTACTTGTTTACTTTGCCTGAGCATAATATAAGTTCATGAATTTTGATCTGTTTATGTAAAATAAATTGCTCACAGTTGAAGAAGATCGTCGATGTAAGAGGAAACCAATAGAACCATGCACAAATGTTAATTCTTCATTTTTCTTATTGGTTCTCAGTAATCTCAGATCAATCATATATGTTTGAGATGATACTCTACAACTACAACTGACATTTCAATCTGCCATGCAGAACATGATGGATGGGCACCATCAGCTCGCTATGATGCAGCAGCAGCAGCAGCAGCATCAGAACCACGGCCAGCAGCAGCAGCAGCAGCCGCAAGCAGCCACGAGTGAGAGCGATGCACACGGCCCACGCCACGACGAGCTGCTGATGGAGAGCAAGTCTGCCAGCGACAACATGGAGGGAGGTGCCGGGTCAGGCTCCGGTGGTGAGGAGCTACAGGAGCATCTCAGCCTGCAGCCAGCCCGCAAGAAGCGGTACCACCGCCATACCCAGCACCAGATCCAGGAGTACCCGCACCCTGACGACAAGCAGAGAAAGGAGTTGAGCCGGGAGCTGGGACTGGAGCCTCTCCAGGTCAAATTTTGGTTCCAGAACAAGCGTACCCAGATGAAGCTACAGCCAAAGCATGCTGATTGGTAATGGCCTTCTCAGTTTGCTTTGGAACTTCTCAAATACATGTTTAGCTTGCATATGCCACGTTCTTATGTAAATTTGTTTATTTGCTCGGAATTTACGTTTTGAAATTCCATTGATCGAGACTTTATCAGCACATACTTATTCTTTAATCAATGGTTGTCACTTTAATTGGGCCAATGCTAGCTTACAACAGCAATAGGTTTATACCCTGTATTCGGTAGAGTATATATCATAGTGTTATAAGATTTGCTTCTTTTTTTTGCAATGTTTTAGTGACTGATACCATTTTTGTCCTGCTGCTTGTATTTCTAATTTTATGATTAGTGATTACATGCTCACTGCAATTATACCCTGGATCATTAGCATTCATTATGTTGGCAAAATTAGCTACCCAGCCTATAACTCTATACAACATGTATATCATTTCAGTGGCCTTGCTACCATTGATTTTGGAGCAGAAAAGCTATTTTTTCTAGACAGCTTGTAAGATATTTCTTTTCAAGTTTGGATAAGATTAAATTTTCTCTTGAGTTGTGAAGCAGGTGCACAGATATGCTGAGAAAAAAATTATTTTTTTCTTTGGAAAATAGGTTTGCCGAGTGTAATTCCCAAAAACACTCGGCAAACAATAATGGTATGCTGAGATTTTTTTTTTTGAAAAATAGGTTTGCGAGTGTAATTTCAAAAAAACACTCGGCAAACAATAATACTTTTGCCGAGTGTATTTTAGAAAAACACTCGGCAAACCACTTTTTTTTGCTGAGTGTCAAATTTGACACTCGCCGAGTGCGCGATAAAAAACACTCGGCAAACTACTGTTTGCCGACACACAGATGCCGTGTGTTGTATTCCGAGTGTTACACTCGGTAAAGCAGTTGTCGAGTGTTTTTGGGCCTTTGCCGAGTGCCCATGGCACTCAGCAAAGCTACTGTATCTCGTAATGTGTCCTACATCAACCATTGGTGCATGATGTCAGTAGGAATAAATGAATACGTTGTACGCTGGAAACTTCGAGGAAATAAATAGGTGTGATGATGGTGAGAGCCAAGAAGTTGATTTATTCGTGGACAAATTTTCAGCCTAGAAATCTACTCCCTCTATTCCTGAATAAATAGATTTCTAGAATTGTCTTAAGTCAAACTTTTCAACTTTGACCGAATTTCTAGAAAAAAAACATTACGATTTATGGTATCAAATTGGTATTATTAGATTTATCATAGAATATATTATCATAAGCTGCTCATTTTATGTCATAAAATATTGTTACTTTTTTCTATAAAGTTAATGTAACAACCCAGGTTTTTCAATAACCAAAAAATCTGAACTTACAAATATTTCTATCAAAACCCATGCATGGTGAGTGTGCATACTAAGAAACCCCCATTGTAGTTGCACAAGTAGATCCCAAGCTAGTAAGATGAGCATATGCATTTTAATCAACATGTGAGTTGCTTCTTCATAATTTTATGTGAGGAAATAAAATCAACTTAACTTTTATAAATAACTTGTTGTATGTGTTGTCAACCCTTGGCTTGACCCTAATACCCTAGTAGACCCATAGTGGACCCCATAAGGATGTGTACATGCTTGACAACACATGTATACATGCATAGGAGCCCAAGGTATAGCATAGAATGGAGTTAGGAAATGGAAAACGAAATAGAAAAAGGAGGGAAATAGAAAGGGGCAAAGCACCCCAGCAGCAATAGGCGGCCTAGCCACAGCGGCCAGCCCTGCCTGCGCTGCCTGCTATGCTGCATGGCCCAACAACCCACCACATGCTGCTCAAGACCCGCCCGCGTCCGCATCAGCGGCAGCATGTATGCTGCCAATGACCTGCCTCAGAATGGCTCACTGCTCGTCGCGACACACGACCGCCATCATTTCCCGCGCCGCCAGCGATGGGCGGACCACTGCATCATCCCTCAATTCCCCCTCTCCTCTGCTTTTTCTCGCCGACGTAGAGCACCTCGCCGGCGAGCATCCGAGGCCATGCCTCGCATCCCCACCACTCGTTTCCAAGCCGTTATAAGGGTGCATGGATGGACGCCACATCCATGATCCATGGCTCGCCAGCCCGCCCCAGCTCGTGCTCAGCGCCGCGTGATGTCGCTGTCATGCCCCAAGCCGCCGCCGCCACCCCGTCCACCTTTTTATCATTTGGCGTCCGAATTGAGAGCGGCAAACCGCCCGTGTTCCCCCGCTCCCTAGAACCCTAAGCTAGAGCCCTTGATCGCCCTCCACGTGCCCCCTTCGCCTCCATCCACCGTTCGCCGCTCACCATGGCCACCACCTCCCTATAAAGGGGCACACCCGGTGCCCTGGCCCTCTCCCATCGACCCCACCGCCACTGGTGGCTTCACCAACCACATGCCGAGACTAAGAGAAAGGAAGGAGAAGGGAGGAGGGAAGGAGAAGGAGAAGCCCGAGTTCTTGCCCGGTTGAGGAGCATTGCAAGGAGGCGAGACGACGCCCGATCGTCTACACCGACGAGAGTGCTCAAAGACGGTGATTGCTGACCGACTCGACACGGCCTCGCCTCATCACAGCGCCACCATCCTACCTACCCTGCCACCACGGTGAGCCCCCGATGCTGATCTCCCGTGCTCACCATTGTGGACACGCCATGGCCACACCACCGTGTTCTCCCCCTTGGGAGGGCCAAAGGCCAGCCTTTTTGATGTCGTGATGCACCGCACATGCGCACACACGCACACGAGCCAAGGCTCAGCCTTGTCGAGCCATGTGGGCTCGGGAATGCTGGCACCACCGCGATGCACCCGCTGTGCTCATCATGGATAGACTTGCCGTGGCGCAGCTTTGTTTCGGCCACCTTGGGCTAGTAGAGGTAGAACGAGCACCTCGGCAAGCTTCGCGTCGTCGAGGGACATGACGAGCACCTCAGCAGCAGCATCTTTTGAATTTCTTTTGCTTCTTTATGATCATCTATAGGAGTCGCTTATCGTGGCTATATGTCTCCTTTGACAGATCAGGAGGAGCCGTAGACTGAGGAGCATGACCCTGACTACACTGAGGAGCATGGAGATGACCTACGAGGTGCTACGTCCCACCCAACCTCATAGAATCCTATTAGACATGCTACAATGTAGATGCTAGTGCTTTATTTTTATGCAAATGATCTGCGATAGGTTGCATGGTAGAATTGCTTGTGAGCCATTACCTTGTCGCAACCTATACCCCTGCACACCCATTGTTAGGTTAGACGCTCGTTTACTTACTTGCTACTGCTTCTACTACGCATTATATCTATGATGTGATGCTTGGTGGAGGATTGTTTGTGAGTGGTTAAGGCACTTGGTGCCGATAATATGGTAACAACCGGGGAGATCTTGGCGTGTGTGGTGAGGGTCGAGTCGACCAGATAGAATTCTATGATGAGTCATTTGGATGAGTCTTGCCAGGGGGTGCGACCTGGGCATCCCCTACGAGAGGTACCTATGGCGGGTGCATGTGATGTGAGAAGGTCCTGGGGTGGAGTGTCTTTGTGGGATGAAGCCCTAGGATGGAGGTGCCGTTGAGGCATAGGACGTTGGTTGGCCCCTTGTGAAGATGTCTTGTCTGGTTCCCCTAAGGACTAGTATGTCGAGAGAACCAGATCATAGGACCCTTTGTGCATACCACTCGCTCCCATTCGGGTGGGGGATGGTTACGCGACCAACTAGGACGGTGCCACTACTATTTGGGATGGAAGTGGATGAGTGTAGGGAGATACGGGGGCATGGCCCACACCCTCCTAAGACAGCATAGTGACCTCTGGTGGCCCGGTACTGTGTCTCATAGTCTCAGTGTGCCGGTGGACTCTGGGGTGGCCTAGGGCTGAGTGATAGGGTGGCATCGCACCGGTTGGGAGGCAGTCGGTATCAGCCTAGGCGAGGCACCTCTGATGATGGTGATCTTGTGGATTTCTAGGTGTACAAGCTCTATAGAGTTGATCGATCTATACATATAGCTACGTCCTCGGACATGGACAGTCCTATGACCTACGCTTCTCTTGATTAGTGAGTGGAGTCCTTTCTTCTCTTCCCCCTGGGTTTTGTGTTGGATTCCAGCTTTGGCCGATGAGGCAAGGCACGAGAGGGAGTCATCCTTGTCGCATAGAGAGTGTGAGAGTGGTGAGATGTGTGTGATGGGATGGTAGAACGTGTGAATGAGATGGGTTAAAACTTGATGAATTATTATTAAAACTCGACATACTCGCATAGGAAACTACAACCACAAATAGGTCTTTTGCTCTACCCTTGCATTCCACTACCACAAAGCAAACGCAAAGCATAGGGTGGGAGCCAGTGGCTAGTACAAATCGTACTAATAATTGTTTGACAGGTTCCGAGTCTAAGTGCGACTACCAGGGAGATGGTTGGGAGGATTAGAGGTCTTGTTCCTGCGCTCAAGTTTGCTTCGTGAAGATGGAGTCGACGCCTGCTGCCATTCTACTTGATGTTGTTCTAGTTGTTGCATGCTCTGAGTGATTCCACCAAGTGGCGATGTAATAATGAGTAAACCTTGCTATTTGTACTCTCTTTAAGACAGGTATTCGATGTATGACCATGATATCGACTGTTATCGGATAATGTGATGGAATGATCGCCTGGGACTATCACGTTATACTTCGTATCTGTGGATTCGTCTTCACGGAAATCGAGATCGTTTCAGTTAGTCACACTTAAAAAAGTTTGACTGACATAGATTCTAGAAATTGATTTATTTGAGGATGGAGGGAGTATTCTTTCAGGGACGGAGGGAATAGCTAATTCTTCATGCTTCTCGAGCTCTAGCCTTCAAGGCATAGACATACAAGGTACCTGTTCTTCTTCAACACGTCGTATACTCCTGTTCTTCTCCTATGTCTTACACCATCGCTAGCTAGACGACACAACTAGTGAATCTACCCTACTCTATAAAACACCAGTTAGAATAAATCTACAGCCACACAACAAATGCCTACTCCACAGTCATGACCTATGCTACATCCACACCCATGAATGCACCTAGAAAATATAACACCATCAAAACGGATGCACCAGATTATCTCTTAGCCATTCTCTCTCATTACTCGTCCAAATCCGACGGCTCATGTTTAGTGTGTTTGCCTCCATCGCCCCGAACGATCGCCCACCCAGCGTGCCACCCGCGCCCGCCGTGGTTCGATTCTGGCGGCATATCAATAAAAAAAAAACAGCCTCCCGATGCTTCTCCACCTCGCATTGTGGTCTGTCCGTCTAGAACGCCCGCCACCGCCGCCCTTGCCCCCGTTGTCGTGCCTCCTCCTCCTTCTGCCCCCACTCCTTGAAGCTTCCGGCGGCCGGCTTCACCAATGCCACCGTGCCGTCCACGGACGCCCCAGCGCCACGCCAGCCTGCCCTCCGCATCGTGGCCGCTGTCCCGGTCCTCTCCGCTGTCCCGGTCTGCTCGATCTATGGCGCAGTCCTTTCCACCGCCCCAGCCTGCCCTCCACGCAGCGGCCTCGCGGCCCACACCGCCGGTCCTCAGGCAACCCCTCAGCACCCACGCACTCGCCTCAGCCCTCTCCCTCAGACTGCAGCTGCTGCAAGGACGCGTCTGCTGGATCCTCACCGGGAGACTCCCTCACGCCGCGCGCCTCACCCTCATGCAACCGGCAGCAGCAAAGTAGACCTTCTGAATGTTTTGCGAATCTACAATGAACCTTAATTTCTGTTTCCCCTGCCCACAACGATGCCACACAGAGAAAAGTTTCATGTTGAAACATGGAGCATTGTTGCTATTGTACAACCAAATTGTGTTTATCAGCTCATCAAATCAGTACCTCTACTTCTACTGTGCAGTATGCATGCATTTATCAAGATGTCTATCATGGTCGATCTCCTCAGTCCTCATACTTCCCAAGAAACTCTAGGTACTAGATGTTGTTTCCTTCTTACTCGACCTGCCACTTTTTCTTATCTCCATATTTTTCCCTTATGGTTTGCCCAGTCTAATGCCTAAATTCGTAGGAGCATAATAGGGCGGAAAGGCGAAGGTGTCCACAACCATCGGCACAAAAGACATAGCAGTAAATGCTATCCCGTTACTCTGTTACATCCTTCAATCACCTACTGAAAAGTTCAAGTATTTTTCGTGATCTCCCTGTGTTCCCTTATGTTCTGGCCAGTCTAATGCCGAAATTTGCAGGAGCATATAGGCCGACAGGTGAAGAAGCCAACATCCATTATAGGCACAGAGTTGAAGATGTCGACATCCATTGGCCAAAAAAGACATAGCGGTAAATGCTATCCCGTTGCTCTGTTACGTCCTTTGATCACCTACTCGAAAGTTTAGCTGCTTAATTAATGTACATGTACATCCAAGCTTGGCCGGCTTATGAAGGGCCTAATCCTTTTAGCTTATATTGAAAAGCCCATCCAGTAAACCACACCCTGTGCCTAAAACACTAACAGTACTGTGTTGAAATTGTTATATCAGGAATTAGAGCAATTCCTTAGGGTACTAATGCCTTCTTTGTGGCAACCAAACTCATGCGCTCCACGGTAAAAAAAGATTCAGAACCGAGGTCACAACCGCCCAGCGACGTGGCTAGCCCCCGACAGCCGGAGTCGCAGCTGTGGCCGTGGCTGGTCTTGCGGCCCCCTAGTCAGCTCCGTGGTTGGCGGCGCGGTCCCCCTGGCTTTGGTCACCTGTTGCCGGCTGCGCCGGGCCATCAACGCCCTACCACCTTGGCTAGTCGAGCGCCGGCGACGCCCCTGGCCATTGCGCCGGCTCGCCCTTCCTCACCCTTGTCGTTGATGAGCATCACCAGGGTGAGCTCACCTTCCTATTCCCTTCCTGCTACGGTGCGAATCTGAGCACTCGAACCCTAACTAGCTATTTGGTTATTTGTGTCCAGATCTGATCCATTTATAAGTGTATATCCTTGTGTTATGCCTACTGTGGTGAGTTGCTTTCCCCTTCATAATGGATGTCAGTTCATGGATATATGAATGGATGTCAGTTTAGTTTGGAAATCATGGTCTTGAATTAGCATTGTATCTAGAATTGGATTGTATCGGAATAAAATTCTTGTGGTATGAATGTTGTGTCTGCTACTGATGTTCTCTTTTTTCCTGTGGTTCTTATTTGTTGATCTATTTGCCTTTTTTTTCTTCTGGATGGAGCAAGGGTACAATATAAATTTTGGAAGAACCTCTTTGATTTCTTAGATAGGAGGTGATACATGTGCATGACTACTAAATAGTAACCTGCTCAAATCATGCCATATATAGCTACATTTCACACTGTTGCTAAAAGGTTCAGTCTCGCTATGAAACTAATAAATTCTAAGTGGGATGGCAATATTTATTACCGGAAGCAAATATTCCCTGCATGTGTTACAAAAGTTCCAAAACATAAAGACTGGTAATCACCTATAATATGTTTCATCTTTCTTATTATCACAAAATAGTTATTTGATTTATGTACAATAAATCAAACAAATGCTCATCTCCAGGAAATTAGGAGGCTTCCTTGTATACAATTTCATGAAGTCATGGGATGGTGTAAGATTGCCACCGATCAACATTGTAAGCATATATTCTCTAACTATATTCCGTACACTACATACAAAATTAATAACTTAACTTATTATATCTATCATGCACAGCTATCAAATTCACTGAGGATGAAATTTTTGAGGGACATTCTTAAGAGCCATGCAAACGAATGTTTTGACAACTTTCCTGAAGATCTCCAAGTCATGATTAAGGACTTAGACAGAATGTAACTTAAATGGTTATATGAGAAAAAACTTTACTATGACTTCTTAGTTTCCCGCATTGTATACATGCTCAAAGATATTGTGTAAAAGTTGAACTATGAAAAAAAACATTGGTTGTTTTCATATGCGTCTCCAAGAGAAATCCGTTGCGTTAGCACGGGTATTATACTAGTAGAGCCTAATTGCTTGGAGCACCATAGCGGAGCCTTAGAGGTTGGTTGGGAGGATTATAGGTCTTGTTTCTGCGCTCAAGTTTGCTTCGTGAAGATGGAATCGACGCCCGCTGCCATTCTACTTGATGTTGTTCTAGTTGTTTCATGCTCTGAGTGATTCCGCCAAGTGGCGATGTAATAATGAGTAAACTTTGCTATTTGTACTCTCTTTAAGACAGATACTCGATGTATGACTGTGATATCGACAGTTATCGGATAATGTGATGGAATGATCGCCTGGGACTATCACGTTATACTTTGTATCTGTGGATTTCTCTTCACGGAAATCGAGATCGTTTCAGTTAGTAACATTTAAAAAAGTTTGACGGACACATATTCTAGAAATTGATTTATTTGAGGGTGGAGGGTGTCACAGAACCGACCAATTTATAAGAGCACAAGTACAAAAACAATCGCCGAAACGATCAAATTCTCGAACTTGAGCCCATATAAACCCGGTAGTCAACTGAAATCTCGAAGGATTTCAAACCAACTTGCATACAACCAAGATCACAGTAATTCAACATAACATATCGTACGTTACAACATTTCACAGACGTTTGCAAATAGATTGCATCATCACAGAGTCAACGTTATTACAAAACAAGTCTTGTAAAACATGCGGAAGCAAATAGTTTAACTCACACACTCGAGTTCAAATACACATCTTTGGTTTGTTGATCACACCCATAAAAAGCATTCGGGATAGGGAACAGAGATCATGCCCATGATCTAGTCTTCTTCATCACCCGCGGGTGGAGACAATACTTACAGAATCCCACGATATAGAAGGTCATCGCAACAAGAGGAAATAAACCCCGAGTACGGGAATGTACTCAGCTAGACTTACCCTTGAAACCAAAATAAATGACACCAAGGATTATGCAAAGCTTATTGTAGTGGATCTGGTTGACACTTTCTTTTTGCGAGAAAAGCATAAGTAATAATGATCAAATCTTAGCTTCGGACTAGCGGTGACTTTTTAACCATTAACGACAACTATATTAGCACCTGTACTAAGCAATCATATTATTAGGGTGCAAACATTAATAACCATATCGGTATTCATTGGCAACCTTATCATCATCATCCATTTAACCATATCGTTAAATTAATTGAATCTACGTTGTGCCATTTGCTCGGTCAAGTTCTCACTATCCGGAGAGAGACGGCGATTCGAATCGATTCCTATCCAAATTTGGAGGGTATTTCTAAACACAAACCCCGCTTCTCCCGTCGAGTCGCAAACAAGTCACCTTTGGTACGATTCAGAGTCGCGAGTCCGATCGGATCGACATTCTCGAGAGAACCACTCGCCAAGGTTGTTCGGGACTCTAACCCGCCTTGGACTTATGCCAATGGCTCTCCGCACATCCTTACTACCTCCGAATGTCGCCATTTGCTCGCGTCCCCCGGCCGAGTCGAGCTACTAGGCTTCAGCGGTCGGAACGACTTATCCGCCAGCTAAGTGTTAGGCTGCGTTCAACATGACATGAGGACGTCTGACGATCGGGGTCCTTAAACGACTCGAGACGGAGTCACTATGTTCAAACCTACACAAGACCCCCGCCCGGTCTTAATTCATTATTCACATGGTTCTTTTCCACGATAGCAAATATAGCCAACCGTGACCCACCTCATCCTAAAGCTCGCGGTGACGAAATCACACGACTTCTACCGCACTAAGCATGGCTAAGCATATAACCCGTTCACGAACTTAAATAGGATTCGGTGCGATATCTGGACAAGGAAGGATATATAATGCAGCAATTGGTTCCAACCAATTCCTATACTTAATGCATCATCAACAATAACAGGTACTCAAAGTATTTGCAAAAACATGGGAGGCTTAATATATAAGGGGCTTGCCTTTCAGAACGAGGAAGGCTGGTGGTCAGGCACTCGGGCAGATCCTCCATGGCATGATCGCTTTGTCGACTTCCTGCACCTCGGGTTCCTCCTCTGGTTGGCTCCCTCGAACTCCAGCAACGTCACTCCCTCCGGCACACCTATTGCATGAATGCTCAAGATAAATATCATGGATGCACATGAGCGTATCGCCGGGGATGCTCGGAGAATGCACATGTTCGTTGTAGTTTGCATATTCCAACTTAAGCCCTATTCAAATCACTTTACTTACCAAGTTTATACAACCTAATGTATAATTGCTCATCTTCAGTTAATGACCTAGCACCTGCACCTAAGCATATTTTCAAGTTAGGCTAACCCCCAAACAATCAACGATTACATTGCAACACATTCAATCAAGCATGTGTATTTCAGCAAATGAAGACTATATAGCGGTACATTAAGCTAGCCATAACTGGAGATGTATAATTCCAAATGACATGAAACAAGACAATCTGGAAAGCTTATGAAATTGTCTACAATTCATTTTTAGACCTCAAAGCACGATTCGACACCTTACCAGCTCGAATTCATAAATCAACAGAACTCTGTCCTCACAAGGCAGAGAGTAAGCAAAACAGGAACCTAACTTTAAACAGCTGTAGTTTCTAAACTACTAGGCCAAATGCCCTCAAATTTTGATAGGAGCTAGATACATAAGTTATCTACAACTTTTGTATTCAACACAAGCACAGAAAACCACATTATCATGGGGAACTTTCCAAAGTCCCCAGACCTGTCCAGCGGGACATAATGCAACAAATAATTGTTAACTTATGATATAAACGCTTGATTGGACAAAACCAACTTTACTGACATATCACACATATCACAAGAACACCAGAAAGTAGGGTGTCCATCACCAAAACATTTCTTTTAATACCTTTCTTAATTTATTTAAGTAATTAGGGGAAATAGTAAACATATATGAAAACTCCCCATTAATTCTACAAAAATTACAGCAGACACTACATGCTCTAAATAGATTACCATAAAAATTTCACACCATTTGAGTAAGTATTACAACCTACACAAAAATGGTAAGGCAGAATGGCTTAAAATGGCATAATTAGGAAACCCTAGTGAAAAGTGTCAAGCAACAGATTTCATATTTTTCCTTGCATTCTTAAGGTACTGGGATACTCTCCAACAAATTTCATAGTCAATGGATTCATAAATAAATTACTAAAATTCCCACAAGAATCATCCAATGATAAAAGGAAAATCTATAACTCAAAAACTACACATGCAATGACTCTTAAATTTTAACCAAAGCTTCTACTAAGCAATATTAGCTTACCCACAAAATTTCACAATTTTTGGATCACAGAAACTCAAGATATGATTTAAACAAGTTTGCATGCACTCAAAAACACTTTTTAAGTTCCTATTTAATTCATCCAAAATTTCTACAAAATGTGCTCAAGATATATTTTTCTTAAATACTAGACCTAACTGTGAGTCTAACAAAATTGGAAGTACTCAATTTGGATCTACCAATTGGGAGTTACAAAAATCACAAATCGGCATTCAAAACTGTATTTTTGAGCTATCCTTCTAATACTCGATCACGACATGAGGGTCCACCGGTCAGGTGGGCCCACGTGTCACG